CCGGGACTGACGAACGAGAGAAAAATAGTTCAGATTAGAAAATGGCTCCAGAACGTTCCTTTCAAAGGCTTGCTTTGGCCAGTGCGGGCGCAGCAGGGAAAGTCATGCAAGAATGGTGGGACCCCTGGGCCGCTGGTGGGGGCTGCGGGGGGGGGGAGAAGAGAGAGTCAAGGAGAACTGCTCTGCACGGACGCGGCTCGAGGGGCGCTTTTCAGGAGAGCGGGTGAATCAACTCCCAAACCAGGCGGGGGCCCAAAAGGGCGTGAAGCACCACCCAGAGCAAGGGCGGCCGGTGCCGGCCGGTGAAGCCCTCCCTGCGCCACCGCAGGCTGGAGGAACGCACAGAGCGCAAAGCCAGGCGCTGCTGCAGACGGGAGGCAAACGCGGCGGGTCCCCCGGGCCAAAGCGACGGGTGCAGTTAATGCACCGTTTCTACCCAGCGCGTGCGCTTCCAAGAACCCAAAGCAGCGAGCCTGCGGCCCCTGAAGGATCCTCTCCCGGAAGCGGCTGGGGCCGCATCCGATGGGCTGCACCTTCAGCAGAGCCACGGGAAGCCCAAGCTCCCCCGGCCAGGCTCTGGGGCCACCAGCAGCACCACGGCGCATAATGGCGGATCCCTTCACATTTAGGCACTTAGGCTCAGAAACGAAGCCAGAATGTTCCCCTCGGGAGCCTTATGCTTCCCTGAGGCTTGCTCTTGTCCAGCAGAAATCGCGCCCGCTGGAGCAGGGAGTGCGGAGTCCGGTGCGCGAGGGGTCGGCGAGGCGAGACGCCCACGGGATGCAGTGCGGGGCAGGCGGGAACGCGATACCCGGTTGCTTGGTTACAGCTGAGTGCTGATAACAGGGAAACGGCTAGTTTGGCTCTAATATTAGAAATGAGCAAAGCACCTGTGGGGAGAGAGCTGGGTGTCTGTTGATTAGTTTTATACCTCACCGGTTTCCTTACAAAGGACCCGGAGCAGCTTACCTCCTCCCCCTCCCCCTCCCGGTCTCAATCCCACCCCCTGCGAGGGCAGGGGGGCTGAGAGTCCACCACTGGCCCGGTCACCCCACTGGCTCCGTGGCCGAGCAGGGACCTGGACCCGGATCGCCGAGTCGCGGTCCCCGCTCTCCACCACGCAGGCTCCGCACCGCACTGGACTCCCCGCCACTGGTCCCCGCCACTGGTCCGCCACTGGTCCCACCCGGGGCCACCATCCGCTTGGGCCGCTATCCATGGGCTTGCACAGAGGAGGGGGGCCGCACTGGTGGGGGCTGCAGGGCCCGCCAGGAGCTTCACTGCTGCGCCACTGTTGCTGGCGGGGTGAGGTCTCGCGGCCCAGCTCGCAGAACGCGGGGTGCTAGGCTCGGCTGCCCCCCCCCCCCCGGGACTTGGATGCCGAGCGAGTGCTGGCGGGTCCGGGGGCTGCAGAATCCGGCCCCCTGCACCTCCCCACTGCCGCAAGGAGCACGCTCGCCCTGCAGCCGTCAGCGGGGGCCGTGCTGCGCCACCTGCCACCGGCCAGAGCCGCGCGTGTCCCTCGCCGGCACGCCTCGCAAGCTTGCCTGGCCTCCCGCTGGCTTTCTTCCCCAAGGCCGAGAGGCCCCCCAGCACCCAGGCACTGCCCCGATGTGCCACGAGCGCCACCGCTGCACAGGGCGCGCGGCAATTTCCGCAGCGGCCTCGCATGGGAACCCGCTGCCAGGCGGCCTGCTGGAAATGTGCTGCCAGGAGATGGACAGGGCTGGGTTTGGGGGGGGGCATCTTAAGAAGAGGAAAGGGGTTACAGCAGAAGGGCTCTCCAGCCCCCTGGTGGCTGAGCCTCCCCCCAGCCACCCCACAGCCCTTGCTGGCCTGCAATGAGCAGGCCCGCCTCTCCTCATGGTCCAGCCCGCATGGCCTCCTGGGCCCCAGCTGGGCTGCCGTTCCCCTCCTGAAAGCCCCCGGGCAGCCCCTGGGCTCCTCCTTAGTTGAAGGGCACCAGACCCAGTACAGCCCCCCCAGGGGACCCCCTCCAGCTCTCCATCACCCTTTGTTCCCCCTACCGCTTTCCGCTCTTTAACCAGTTGCTGATCCAGAAGACCACCTCCCCTCCAGAAGACCACCTCCCAGAACAGCTACATTTGCTCTTTTGCCCAAAGCCTCTTGCAGGGGCCACGGAAAAAAGCGCCTTCCCCAGCACCCCCCCCCCGCATGTTCATTGCCACTGTCACAGATTTCTAAAAGGTAAATCAACCAGCCTTGCATTTGTGGGTTTTTATTCCTTCTCATCAGGACTTGTCCTTCTATCTGTCTACCAAGTTTATTTTAATTGCACTGTCGACCAGTTTGCCCAGAAGAGACATTGCACGAACCAGCCTGCAATTTCCAGAATCCCCTTGAATCCCATGGAAAAAGATTGGCCCCTTCTCCAATCTTTGGCAGAGGATGACCTTGGGGGCATGAGACACGCTTTCGCAATTTCGTTGTTGAGTGCTTTAAGAACTCCAGGGTAGATGCCACCCGGGCTGGGTGATTTATTAACTTTAAGCTAGTCAGTAAGACTATTTTATCTGACAAGATGGGGTAGGAAATGGGTACTGGGGCAAACAGACAAAAGGGTATACCAGGAGGGAGGAGGAGGCCCGTTGCAGAAGGATTCTTCACAAGGCTAAGGCTGATTATGAGCTGAGACTTGCCAAGAATATCAAGAGTGACAAAAAGGGCTTCTTTCAGCATGTGAATAGGAAGAGGAAGGGGAGACAAGTGGTGGGACCACTAAATAGGGAGGAAGGAGATGCAGTGACTGACATGAGGGAACAGGCACAGATCCTAAATGACTATTTTGCCCCCGTGTTCTCCCCAAAGCAGGACGGGGGAGATCCGCATAGGAGATTAGATGAGGCCGGGGATTTAGGGGCACAGATTAGAGTCACCCCCCCTTGAAGTCGAGGGGCTCCTCAGGGCATTGGACATTACAAAGGTGCCAGACCCTGATGGGTTACACCCGAGAGTACTTAGAGAGTTGGCAGGGGTTCTCTCACGCCCGCTGGCCTCCATTTTTGAGGCCTTGTGTAGAACGGGTGAAGTTCCAGAGGACTGGAGGGTGGCATCAGTGGTCCCAATTTTCAAAAAGGGTAGTAGAAGGGACATGGGGAATTATAGACCGGTTAGCCTTGCGTCAATTGTAGGAAAAACAGTGGAAAGGCTCATAATGGAGAGAGATCTAGTGATGCTAGACAGGGAAGGGAGGCTGCCAGCCACACAACACGGCTTCCACAAAAACAGGTCCTGCCAGACAAACCTTGTGGAATTCTATGACAAGGTTTCGAGGTGGCTGGATGGAGGGGATGCAGTGGATGTGGTATACCTGGATTTCAGCAAGGCCTTTGACAAAGTGCCCCATGATATCCTGGTGGAGAAACTGAGGAGTTTTGGGATACGCCAAAGCACTGTCCAATGGATCAGGGCATGGTTGACTGACCGTACGCAGAAGGTAACCATTAACGGGGAATCATCGGGATGGTAGCCAGTGACAAGCGGGGTCCCCCAGGGCTCTGTCCTGGGGCCGATCCTGCTTAATCTTTTCATTAACAACATGGAAGAAGGGGTGAACAGTCTGCTGATCAAATTCGCAGACAATACTAAAACTGGAGCAGTGGCCACAACTAAGGAGCAGGTACTCCAGATCCAAAAGGATCTGGACAGACTATGGAAGTGGGCAGGAGGCAACAGGATGGCGTTCAATGTGGAAAAGTGCAAAGTCTTGCATTTGGGGCACAGGAATGGGTGTCATAAGTGCAGGTTAGGTGACAAGTGGCTGGAGAGCAGCCCTTGTGAAAGGGGCCTCGGAAAGGCGGAACATGAGCCAGCAGTGCGATGCGGTGGCCGAGAGGGCGAACGCCACCCTTGGTTGCATAGCCAGAAGTGTGGCTTCGGGATCGAGAGAGGTATCACTGCCACTCTACACGACTCTGGTGCGCCCGCAACTGGAGCCTTGTGCTCAGTTCTGGGCCCCTCATTACAGGAAGGATATAGCCAGGTTGGAGTCAGTGCAGCGCAGGGCCACAAGGTTGGTGGCCGGTTTGCAGGGGATGCCGTGTGAGGTGAGACAGAGGGAACTGGTCTCTTCAGCCTGGAGGAGAGGAGACTCAGAGGGGGTCTGTTGGCCACATACAGGTGTGTGAGGGGGTGTCACATGGAGGTGGGCAGAGACCTGTTCTCCCCTGCAGAGGAAGGCAGGAAGCGCTCCAAGGGAGCCAAGCTCAGGGAACCAAGGTTCAATTTAGGTGCCAGGAAGCACTTCCTGACAGTCAGGAACCCGAGGGTGTGGAATGGGCTTCCTTGGGAGGCGGTTGAGGCCTCATCGGTGAGGGTGTTCAAGGATAGGCTGGACGTGCACAAGGTGGGCTTGTCGTGAGCGGAGCCGGCTGGAGCCGGGGGTCAGACTAGATGGCCTGGGAGGTCCCTTCTGACTTGCTCAGTTTCTATGTTTCTATTTTATTCTTTGTCACCAGTATTCGCCTTAGCTCCCCAGACTTCCTTCCTAAAAGCATCGGTTCAGTTACAGGTTATCTTGGGGGGGATTCTGGGAATTACAGGCAGGCTAGGCTATGCTGGGAGTTGTAACACGTATTTCTGCATAAACAAGAACAGGATCTCCTGCCTGAGGCTGCAGCCCTGTGTAGCAGCCACCGGGAAGTTAAGCCTGTTGACTTGTGTGCAAGGATACCTAGCCTTTCCTGGAGCCTCGCCTTTTCTCGTTGTAGCGTGGGAACGCACTTACACGTGTACGCCAATTTCCTCTCGCACATCTCCCTGCGACGACGGACGGCCAATCGCGCCTGTCTGCGCCTGCGCAGTCGAGCCGCGCTCCTTCTCCCGCCCCTCCCCTCCCCTCGCAGCTTGCCTCGTCGCCATGGCGACAGGTTTGTGACCGCCACGGCCTAGCGGGCCCAGGTCAGCCCGAAGCCTCGGCCTCGCGTGGGCAGCCAGCCGGGAAGCGTTCCTCGCCTGTCCGCCCGACCCTCGCCGCCGCCATGGCCTCGCGCAGCGCCGGGACCCTCCTCACGCAGAACAACGCGGTCTACGTGCCGCCGGGGCTCATGCCCGGGTGGGTGGCGCGGCGGCCGGGGCCGGGGCCGGGGCCGGGCGGGTCGGGGCGGGGGACGCGGGCGACGGCCGCCTTGTGCCGAGCGGGACGGCAGAGCGGAGGGAGGAGAGAGGCGCGCGTGCCCTTGGCGCGCGGCCCTCTGCACGGGCTCAGGGGCACGCTTGCCTCGCGCGGCACCTGGCCGGAAGCGGGGGCGCGCAGCGGCCCTGGCGCCCGCGGGACTGGCTTTCGGACGGGCGAGCGCAGGCGGGAGGGTCGGGAGCCGAGCGAGGCGGCTCCGGCGTCACCCCCGGGTCCCACCCCTCGCCCCGCCGGGTGGCTCTGCGGTGCCCCACGGTCTGGAGGAGCAGCAGCCCTGTGGGGAGAGTTGGGGTATCCGTGCAAGGAGTACTCGTCGCAACACACTTCCCTCTCCTCTTACTTACTTGCTTACTTACTTATTTATTAAAACATTTCTATGCCGCCCCATTCGCCGAAGCCTCGGGGCGGCTCACAACGTTAGGTTAAAATACAAGAAATAACAATATAAAATAAGTCGTCCTGGCCAGATAAAATAATCAATAATATTAACAATTAAAATGACGCTTAAATAAAAAGGTCTTCGCCTGGCGCCAAAAAGGACGCTGTTGAGGGGACTATTTTCCCCGGCAGCCCAGAAAACGAAGATTTCAGTGCTGCGTGGCTGCCGCAGAGGAATAAAAGCGCCCCCTCTTCCCTTGCTCAGAGGATTGGTGGGGGCAGCAGGTTCCCTAGAGTAGCTCCTCTGTGGTTTCGTCTTGGACAGGTAAATGCAATCTGATGAGCAGAAAATACATTTCCCCTGTTGAATAATCCTTGTGGGAATGTCAGGAACGTGTGATCCCAGGCAGCAATGAATACGGCACCTTGGTTTGTGGCTTTACGGCATTCTGCACAAAAGCTTTTGAGCAGGAGCAGTTTCTCTGAGCAAGCCGGGATTTCAGCGCCCATCCGCTTAAGGGCCAACAGCCGTTCTTACTTTGCCCATTGCTGGCTCTTGGGGAGCGGGCCATGTCCCCCTGGCACGGAAACCCTTGTTATGGCAGGCAGGCCGGGCAGCCCCTCGGCTCCAATTCCGCATCTGCGCATCGCTGTTGTGGAGACAGATGAGCCAAGGATTGCACAGTGCTGCGCCTGTGGGGTGTGCAATAGCAGCAGTTAAATAATGGCCATCACTTGTCCTGTGCTTTCCCCGTTTCACACATCCTTCTCTCTCCTCCCGCCCTGCAGGTACCGTGGGCACGTCCCTAACGTGACCTTTTCCTTCGGTGATACCTACGGGAACGCCACCATGAAACACTTCCAGGATTTTCGGAGTGCTGCCATGGAAAGCAGCTGCAGTCCCTACAGCAAAGGGGGGCAGTTCCCCACCCTCTTCTCGCGCGACCCAGGCCTGGTGCTGGGGGCCAGGGCAAGAGGCTGGGACAGGTGGCTGTACACCCCCAGCTACTCGCGCTTCAATCTGGATTTCAACCGCTCCGAGGAACTGAGGGAGTTCTACAAGGTATGGGGGTCTTCCGGGACGTGCCCCCTCCCATGGGAGCAGCCTTGCCTCAGGCTTGCGGGTTCTGCGTTGCTTCTGCCTTGTGCCCTCTGAGTTCCCATGAGGAGCAGATCAGGGTGCTATCCAGAACCCTCCAAACGCGCTGCGTTCCAGGCACGCAGCGGGGGGCAGGATGGCCTCCATGTGTTCCTTGCTGTCCGAACCAGGTAGATGACCAGTTTGGGGTGTCTGAGTGAGTGTTTTACCCCTGCTTCAAGGGGGAGGGTGAAGCACCACCAGAATTCTTGCCATCCCGCCAGAGCCTCGCTCCCCTCCCTGACCCCTGCGTTGGCTCTGGAGTGCTACCTGCAGCCCCGAAGTCACAGTGGGTGCAGGAAGAGGCGGTGGGAGGGTGCTCTGCACCCAGAAGACATGAGTAACAGGCGTCCTGCATTTAATCCTTGATCGCCGTTGAGTTACTGTGCTAGTCTGGCTCTTCCTTCTAGACAGTTTATGCGCCACGGATCGTCTTTTGGGCGGTTCATGCAGTCAGCAGGATCCTGGGCAAAACCTATTGCGATGCCCGTGCTGTGGGTACGCTGGTCCGAATGCTCCCCCTGTCAGCACCTCCCCAGCGGATACTGTTACTTATTCCAAAAGCCGCTTCAGGCAATCGCTTTACCAGGGCCAACCAGAAATACGCCGAAATGCAGTCAGAGCTTTCAAGATCTCCAGATCCGCTCTTCAGGCGAGGTGCTGCCGATCATGGGGCAAGACCCTGAGGCGAGAAAGTGCCGGGGCAGCCTTAAGGTGGAGCGGAGGGTCCCATGGCTGAGGTGGAGGGCTTCGGGGCAGAAAATACGTAATGACCGGCCGTTCGGTGCCGTGCAGGCGTCAAGCCGCACCCAGGACTGCTGGGGCAAGCGGACTCGCAAAGACCAGTTCCCCAGTCCTCCCAGTTGTTGCTGGCTGGATTTTCCACAAACGCGAGAATCTGCCCTTTGTCCCAGCAGGCCTTCCTCCTGCACCGACAAGCTGGTTTTCTACATTTTGGGAGTTCCTATTTTAAAGGGTGGAGAGTTCAGACAGGGCACACAGAGACACCTTCCTGCAGCCTGATGCAGTGCAAACTTTGCCACGTGATCCCACGGATTTCATGAAGTAACAATAAAAGAGGCAGGTGAGGGAGAAAAGAGCAGCATGGTCCGGAGGGAGGGGGATGGATGGGGAAGGGGGAGAGGCTGGCTGAGGTCGCCCCGTCTTCTTACTGCAGGCTGTGGAGCCCCCTTCCCGCCTTCAGGGAGCCTCCCCCGTTTCTTGGCCGCAGGAAACGCGCACAAACCCGCCATCTAGCGTCTGGCCTGAGGCCCCAGAGCCCGTTCCTGGGGGCACCAGCCAGACCTGCTGCATCCCCCTGCTAGCACTGCCCTGGAGGGGCGGTGGCGGGTTGGGCGCGATGGCCCTCCGGCCCCTTCCAGCTCTGCTCTTCTGCGATTCCATGACTACCTGCCCTGCTCTCAGAAGGGGGGCTTGCAGCCCACCGGCTGGGTGCGGCCTCCCACTGCCCATGCCGGTTGTCCAGGCCGCCTGCCCCGAGCTCCCGATCCTTTCATTTGTGCCACGACCGAAGGCACGCCTCCTGAGCACAGTCGTGCCAGCACAAGCGGGGAGTGGACTGGGGGCAGGCCACTTTTTGCGAAGGCGGCCTCGCCTGGCTGCAGCTCAGGCCATTTTCTTGGGCCCGCTGTGCCGAGCTTGCTCAATTTTGGCTTCCTCGCAAGCCCAGGACCGGGCAGGGTGGGGGTGGGGGATCTTCGCCTCCCCCCAACATTCAGCAGCTCCACCAGCTATAAATAATGGAGAGCGGGTTGCCAGCGTTAATGAGCTGAGAACAGACATTGTTTGTTGTGCTGGCATGGCGGTGGGGGGGGCACTGAAACTTTTGAAAAAAAAATTTTTAAAGCCCCCCCCCCCCCCCGTGCCTATAGATAATCATGCAGGCGGTTGCTAAGGGTGTTTGCTGTCCCAGTCAATTTACAGGTTAGGAACACATTAGTGTTAATGTCCGTGAGGAAGCGCTCCCTGCTTTTCTGTTTAATGAAAATATGCCTTGGGGAGCTGTGATATTCAGAGGAGAAGCAGCAGAGCAGGGAAAGTTTGCTTAACCTTTCCGCTGCAGGCTTTCTTTCCTGATCCATATTGCCCCACCATAAGCTGCTTCTCCCCCGCTCTCCAGGATTCTAGATATATGCTTACCTTTCCAAAACACACACCTGCAGAAAGCAGATTTCCTTGGGCAGGTTTATAGAATTACAAGTGGAAACTGCTGAAAATCCACCCATGTATTCGGTTTGCCTTTTCTGGGCACCTTCTCCATTCTGTTTCAGGTGTGCATGCACACTCTTACTGGATACCTCAGGTCCTTGCACATAGAAATTGTTGCACACCAGTGACACCACCTCCTCCCTCCCCCCCCCCCCGCTTTCTGCTCCAGAGCTCCTGGGTGCAGGTGCCTTTTAAAACTTCAAAGCAAACTGAATGTTCGGGAGTACCAGGGAGGCGGAAAGGATGAGCCCCGGAGGGCTCTGCACGCAGCTGGAGCCAGAAATGCGTGCAGGCGGCAGCAGGGGAGGCTTGAAAGGCATTCGTGTGTGATCGCTAGCCGCCTCTCTTTCTTGTGCCAGAGTTATCCGAAGGCACAAAGCAGCAGATTCCTGGGTGGTGTTGCGCGTGTCTGTGTTCCGTGCTCCTTTTCCCCACGGCACCCCTCGGGATGGAGAGCCTTGCCTCGGGAAGGCGGGGAGGTTGGCGGGAGCCAGATGTCGCCGCCTAGCCGATGCCCACCAAGCCGAGTGCCGGGGCCGTCCTCCTCTCGCCCCGCCGGAGCCCAGCAAGGCACAGGGAGGGGCACGGGGGGCACCTCGCTCTGGAGCACCTGCCGTGACCCACCGGGCAGAAGAGCCCCACGGTCACGGTCAGGCCGGCGCTGGCCGCCCGCCTAGAACTGCGACGGTGGCGGGTGGGGGTCTCCAGCCATCCATCGCGGTGGGGCCGGCCGGAAGCCGGTGCCAGGTGCCCCGGAGTACCGCTTGGATGCGCACAGGGCGGCTGGCACGGGGGGGGGGGGGCAGGCTGGGCTCCGGCAGGGTGGCAGGCACCTGGGACGTTGGCTGTGGGGCTTTACCCACAGGGGGACTGGCCACCCGGCCTCCAAGCCCCCAGCAAACCTCTGTAGGCAGGATGAGCATGTGAAGAGCCCGGGGGCCGGTTTGAAAAGGCTCGGGCTCGGGCGACACAGCCTCCACCTGCGTCTTGCTGACCCCGTGGCTTGCTGCGTCGTGCGCTCCCGGCCTGTGGCTGCCCAGGGCCACGCAGTGGGCGTTGCGCTTGCCAGGGATGTGCAGCCGGCCTTCGCTGGACTCGGTCCAAGGCGCTGGTCACTGCAGCACAGGAACTAGGCTGACTTGGAGACGAGCTCTGCCCACCCGGAAAGGGCGCTGTGCCAGGTGCTGCCCCGGGCCAAGCTCCCACGATACGGCCAAGCTCAGTCTTCTTTCCGCGGGCCAACCCTTGACCAGCTTGTTTGCAACTCGTAGCTGGCCCAGATGCATCGCGAGCACTACAGAGACAAGACCGGCACGGTGCACCAGGTCCCGTACTTCGTGCTGCCCGTGAAGGAGAAAGACAAGTACCCCCACCCTCTCGATCTGTGAGTCCCGGGGGCGAGCGCAAGCGGCAGGGAGGCGGTGGGAGCACCTACTGTCCTGCGGGCACTTTGAGAAGACTCGGCCGACGTCCTTGCAAAGAGGGGTGGTGGGCTCAGGGTCCTCACAACCGGGTGTGGTCTGGGTCGTGTAAATGGGCCCGGCAGGGTGGCATCTGTGAACTGGGGGGTCCTTTGGCCGCAGCCAGAAGCGGTTTTGTTCTGCCCCAGTCTCCCACAGGCCACCGTCACCGAGGGGCTTCTGATAGGAGAACCGTTTTCTGTTGTATCTAAGGGAGTTGTCCTTGTCATGCCGAAGGCATCCTCATTCCCTCTGCTGGACCATCCAGGTTCACAGAGCGGAGCTACTGTCACCCGCCTGGTTCCATGTTCACAACCACTGAGGCAGAACAGAGTTCCCACTCCGCCGCACTAACCAGCTGAAAAGGAGTGGGTGGGTAAAGACGTCCGGCCTTCTACCAGGGAGCTTACAGAAGGCTGTTAAGGGCCAATTAAGCCGCTTTACATGATTGCCTGTATGGGGGCTGCCTCGGGCATTCTAGGTCGGTTCCGTTCTGTTCCCTTCCCACCACCCTCGACTCTCCCAAGAAACATCGGGCCGCTTTTTCATCTTCATTCCCGCTTGCAAACACAGCCATTTTACTCCCAGCCAGACTTCTTCCAGGGCTCAGGACCCAGAGGGGAGCAGGGAGAGGGGAGAGGACTGGACATCTGTGGATTTGGTTCTGCGTGGTTAGAGGGGGCCCAGAACGGGGTCTGCCCAGCCCCTTGCCGTTGACTCGGTCTTGCAATCATCTTGGCCGCCTCCGGGAAACGGCGTGTGTTGGATGCTCGGCAGTGTGTTGAATGTGTTGTTTGAAGGCTGCATTCGTGGCTTCCTGGGAAGGTATCATTTTAGTTCATTCTGAATGCCATCTGACTGAAATGTGCTATGCAGGGGCACGGCACCTCAAATCCGCCGGCCAAACCAGGACTGCCCGGGGTCCCAGACTGGCCTCCAGGGTTCCCTTTTTGGCTAGACCCCTTTTCTTCTCAAGGACTGATTGCTTGGCAGTTTATGGACTTTTGGATATTTTCCCCGGTTGAAACATGCTTGAGTGCCTCTCTGATGGCCTGACCACTGGGATGCAGCCCCCAGGAGCAGCTCTGGAATTGAATTCCGCCCACCATGCAGAAGGTGTAGACTTTTTAAAAATGTGAGGAAACAAAATCGAGGCCTTTCCACCAAAGTGGATGCTTCCATATAGCCCGAAGTGCCAGATCCCGCCTAATCTGGGAGTTCAGCGGGGCCAGGCCTGGTTAAAGTCTGGACAGGAGACTTGAGTCCTGCATTGAGCAGGGCGTGGGACCCGATGGCCTTCCAGGCCCCTTCCAACTGTATGATTGTCGATATGACAGCTAGAGATCCCTTTGTTCAAGCTTTGATCTGCCTCAGTTGTTCAGAAAGTGTGGCAATTTACAGGCCAAGGGTGAAAAATGCAGACCGCAGCACTGATCCACCCTCTTTTTAGTTGACGTTTCCCCACCACTGAGTTTAGGTACCAGAAATGAGTTAAACAGAAAGAAAAGTGCCAGAGGTGAAGGCCTTCAGGGAGACAAGAATCCTGGGTTTGTCCCTGGCACAGCTGTTAAGCTGTCAAGATTGGAGAGGCCGGCCAGCCGGCCCACGACCCGAGGGGAGATCTGCACCCCTTCTGTGCCAAGCGCCCAGTTCCCGAGAGTGGGAGGGGTTTGTCCTGCCCCGAAATGCCGCCATGGCACTGCCCCGTGCGCTGCTTTGCTCCACGGGTTGCCCGGTCCCAGGATGTGAGGGGGATTTCCTTGCCTACCTAACCCTCTCCCTGGCCGCTGGGAGTGTCCTCCAAAACACACATGTGGAACCAGAGCGAGTTGGAAGGGGTCTCCTGGGCCATCTAGCCTGACCCCCGGCTCCAGCCAGCTCCGCTCACGACATGCCCACCATGTGCATGTCCAGCCTATCCTTGAACACCCTCAACCTCAACCCCGCGCCCCCGTGGAAGCCCATCCCATACCCTGGGGGTTTAGACCCCAGTTGGGGAGGGGCGTTGAAGGGGAATAGGAGTGGGGGTGTGGGGGGAAGGGCTGTGCCAGCACCATCCTGGGGCGCACGGGGCGGGGTCTCTGGCCCAGCGATGGTGCCGCGCAGCTCGCCCGTCGCCTCCTTGTCGGCAAGCACAGCTCTCCGAAACGATGTTGTTTCCCGCAAGCGCCTGAGTATCATTTTAAGCTGTAAACCGATTCCTGTCATCCTGAGAGAATTATGTAAGCCTCTGTAAGATGAAATGTACCCATTGCTTATTTCTCCAGACGGTTGTGAATAAAGCCCACCCACATTTACATGTAAGCAGCTCGTGTTGGCAGGTGTTCCTTCCTGGGGAGGGCAGCCTGCCCGAGCCTGGCGGCATCCCCTCCGGCGCGCCCACTCGCCACCCCCTCCCTTCTGGGTGTTGGCAAAGGGGCTTCGGACTTCCCGCGTCACACGGCTGGGACTGGGGAGACAGCAGGCCGTCCGCCTGGCGTGCTTTGGCTGGAGGTATTGCTAGTGTGGAGACTGAGCCTGCAGCAGATGGTGGTGATGCGAGATGCCGTTTCGGGTTTACAAGTGCACACGCGAAGCTTTGCCATCTGAATCCCTGGTCTCCAGGCAGGGCGTATCTTCCTGTGTTGCCACGCTTTCCTGGCAAAGTGAGGGGCTGAGCTGTTGTGCAGGACCCAACTGGGCCTCTGTGCCCCCCGAGGGGCAGGTCCCGCATCCCGTTCCTGAGCCCGTGTCCTCCGGCGCTCCAGATGGGCAACAGCCCGCCACGCAGATTGGCTGCATGCCTCGGCCGCCTGGGGGCTGCTCGGCTCAGGTCTGGGAAGCGGCGCAGATGCGTCACGGGCTCAGGTCTGCCTGTTTGGCCAGATGGCGTGGCTGGAAAGTAAAATGGGCCGAAGGCAGGAGGGCAGCAGCCGTCGCTCCGGAAGCAGGGCAGGGAAGGGTGGCTGGGAGGCGGGCCCTTCGGAAGCAGCCCTCTGCCCAGGTGAGCCTGTGGCATGGCCGGGCTCCCTCGCCGCACGGCCGGCAGCCGCCACCTCCGCTGGCCCAGCAGGGCGAGCCAATTTCCTGGCAGGCGCTCCTGGTGGAAATGCGGCGCCGGCAGCCTTCCCCGCGCCTCCCTCTCCATGTCTCGCCGCAGAGGTGCCAAAGGCACAGAACTATCACAAAACTGAGCCGCATCCAGCGCCTGAGCGGCACGGTGCATGCGCGTGCTCACGTGGGAAAGCTCCGTCGGTGCAGCGGCGCTGCTCCTGCTTGCACGGTCCACGTGCCAGGACAGCGGAATGGCGCGCCCGGCGCGTCCTGCCCGCCTGCCCTTCCAAAGCGGCCTCGTGCGGCAGCGTCTCCCGGCACACGGGCATCCCTCACGCTGCTGGCTTGCAGGAGCACGTCGAGGGCACCGGCGAGTTGGCACGCCACAGGCGAGCTGCTCTTGCCGAGGCGTGCAGGGAGGGAGCTGTGCCCGTGGGCTCTGTGGTGAGTAGCCCGTTTCCCCTGCCGTCGTGGCCGATAGACGGACGGGGCTGCCCGTCTCTGTTGGGACAAGGCATCCCTCCGGCTCTGAGCGGCAAAAACGGGGCGCGGCCCAGATGCCGTGGGAAAGCTGCTGCTGCTTTCATCATGACGGGGCCGGTGAGCTCCAGGCTGCTGGGGGGGGCAGGACGGGGGAGCACGCGAGCCTTCAGGTCCTGGCTGCTGCTGCCCCAGGAACATCTGCTTGGCCATTGGGGGGGTGAGACGACGGCCAGGCTGGCTGGACATTTGGCCCGACCCCACAGCCGTCCTCTGAGCATGGAGCCCGGAGCCCTGACCCGGGGAGGAAGGGGGCCGCGGTGAGATGGCTGCTGCAGCTGCCTGGCAGCCCCCTGCTGCAGGAAGGGGCCGGACACCGGCTGGGCTGCTGGCCCACTGAGGCTCTCCGCCGCGCCCTCCCTTGCCAAGGTGCTCCCTCGGCTGGGTTTGCCCTGCGGCCTGCCTGGGCAGGGTGCTTGCTGCACCCCCGGCGGCATCCCGCTGTTGGCCTCGGGGGTGGCTGGAGGGTGGGTTTTGCCCACAGCGCTCTTCCTTGGGGATGGGAAACCGCACCCTCCGGCTCAGCCTTCCCCGGGCTGGGGCCCGCCAGACGCGTTGGGTTACGGCTCCCAGCATCTGCGGGACCCCAGCTTGGAGACACCTGCTCTAGCTCAAAAGCACCCCTCCTGCCATCCGTCGGCCCAGAAGCAGCAGCGGGAGGTGGCTGGAGAAACGGGGAGGGATGAGGAGGGAAGGAGCTCCGTCTCGCGCTCTGTGGCTGCCCTCTGGCGGCCCGAAGCGGCCATTTCTCCGTGTGCGAGATGCTGGAGTGGAGCCAGACAGGAGGCGCTCGCTGTTGGGAGTGAGAGGGGCCCGTTCTTGGCACGTGCTCCCGGGTCCCGCCAGTCGGGACTCTGAGTCCCAGAAGGAAGAGGCGGCAAGACGGGGAGGCTGTGAATTTGGGGCTCAGACTTGGAGATGGGAGAAGCATGCCTCGGGGCCACTTTCCGGGTGCCCAGGCAAGCTCCGGGGGCAGCTGAGACAGACAGCTTTCGAGAGGGGGCTGGGACAGGCGTTCTCGTGACATCCCTTCCCTCCTTGCCTCCCCCTTTCCTTTGCCTCCGCTTCATTTCCATTCGGGAACTCTTCTCTTCGACAATTCTAGGAGCGGCCCACGAAGGGACAGGCACTCCTGCCACAGCTCTGAGGAGCTTGCATGCAGAAGGCTTTTGGCAGGAGGCTGAGGGGCTCATTGGCCACCGGCCACCCACCTCATCCTCGTCACAGGGCACGAGTCTCGAGTGCGAGAGACCAGCCTCCTGCACTGCAGGCCCAGATAAGCCGACGTCCCCGAGTGACGACAGGGCGACGCTTGCCAGCATCTTCAGCAGGCGCCGAGTCCGGTGGTGGCGCCCAGGCATCGCATCCAGAGGGCTCCCGTCTGGCTAAATGAGCCAGGCAGGGGGTGCTGTGGGAGGGACTGCCTGGGGCCCAGGGGACCCCGGGCCGGCAGGGTGGAGGGGGCCTGCCTCCTCTGGCCCCTGCCCTGCTCGTGTCCCGTGAGCCTCCGGGGCGTCTCCATGGGCCAGGCGTCACCGACAGCCTGTCCCCCGGGACTTTGCCTGCCTTGCCTGAGAGGCCGCTCCTCTTCTGCAGAGGCCGCTCCTGCGTCTCCTCCCTCGGACACCGCTTTTCTTTCAGAATATCCCCTTCTCTGAGCTGAGGTGTAGTCAGGCGTGAGGCAAGTTCAGAAAAATAATCTTCAGGAGATGCACCCACAGAGAGATTTCCCTCTCCCACTCCATATAAATAGACCTGGCAATGGCCAGATTTCTGTCAGAGGTCGCATTAAAGCCACCAGAAACAGGAATTAGGTGCGTACACACGGATCCGTTTAACTTGGCTTGGGTGCTGTGGACGAAGGTGGCGAGGACAGGAAGGGCTCACAAGCAGATGCACAAAACCAGCCAGGAAGGAGTGCCTGCTTCTGTACCAGACAGCTTCCCCCAGCCTGATGCTAGAATACAACTCCCATCATCCTGGCCATCAGAACCCATGAGTCCAACAGATCTGGAAGGCGCCAGGTTGTGGACGGTTGTCCAAGGTTACATTTTACTCTTGTTCACACCTAGTCAGAGCCGCTCCTGGGAATGTCACCTCGGATGCTCACTTTCTTTGCCTGCTTTTGCATTTTGTTCTTTCTTTGGTTTGGTGAGCCTGGCACGATACCCATTGAGGACGAGATCTGACGTGGTCCGGGGTCTCTCTTCGGTCTTGGCAGCATCTTCTCTGTGCCGGGCTCTCTGGGGTTGCTCACCCTCCGAGTAACGTCCTCTCCACTGTGTGCTTGTTCTCTCCACCCCACCCCGCTTTAGTCCACCTCTGAGCGCCCGAACAAAGTGGTACCTACATCGGGCAGCTCCGGAGAACCTCCGAACATACCAGACCTTCCCCTCGGGGAAGAGGGTGACCTCGCAGGAGAGAGAAGTCCGAGACAGCTTCTTCGAGTTCAGGGCCTGAGCAGAGAGCCGCCTCCACGCTCTGGGCGGCCCTTGAGAGAACACGATTTGGAGAACTGCCACAGTCTGGGAGCAGGATGTCATAAAGCCGATTTTCTCTTCACTGCTCTACCAAATCGTGCTGCCCAGGAACACTTGCGCTAAGCGGTGACATGCCCTCAAAACTGGGGTGTCGCCCAGTGGTCAGTCACCTCCCTTCTCACAGACGCCAAATTTTCACACACGGGAAGCTGGGCACAACCAAGCCGAATGCGTCCTTGGCAACCGGCAGCCGAGCTCCACAAGGGCCCTTCCTTTCCAGCCCGGCCCATTGCCGAACTGCCCTCACGAAGGGGCTCACGGCATGTGTGCTGGGTCGGCCACATCAGGGGCTGCCAGGGCTTGGCCGAACCCTTTGTCTTGGCACAGAGGCGGCTCTGCAGGATGCGCGGGACGGGGCGCGTCACGAGCGGCCCAGCGTGCTCAAGATGCAGGCCCCTGCAGCGGCATCGTCGGGCACGCAAGCGGTCCAGGGCCTGGTGTCCTTAAGGACCAAATCTGCATGTTCTGCAGGTTTAGACATAATGGCTGGGATGTATTTTAGTCTCCTGGGGGCAGAGCCACCCCATTAATTCCTCATTCAAATCCTCACCTGGACCCAGATCTTCCCAGTTCAACAGAGACCGCTTTGACGGGGAGCTCTGTGATGGCGCAGGAGTTGCAGCAGAGGAGAGACAATTTAGCCCTTCTGCCCCCAGCTGCAGCCCCCCTGAAGATTGCCCCCGACTTGCCGTTAGGCTGAGCACAGATGCCCCCTTTGCACCAGTGGGCCCTCAGGCGCTGTGCCACCGATCTGGGCCCTGCGCAAGCAATTTGGAGCTGCACTCCGTGCGTCCAGGCCAAGGGTCCGAGATGGCCGAGATGCTGAGCGCTAGCCGGGAGGAGGAGGGGTGCCTACCGCAAAGCTGCCAACCTGCTGCCCCCTTTTCCAGGAAACTTGCTCCTGCAAGAGTCGTGCTCCCGTCCAAGGTTTGAGAGAGCAAGTGGTTCTCCCCCTTTTGGCAAATCTGGCGTAGAACTGATGGGCGGCGGGTGTGCCACCCCTAGCGGTGGCTTTGACTCAGCCCGGCTGGTTTGCTCAGGCACCCCAAAGCAGCACCGTGCTTGCAGCGCCCAGCTTGCTACGGACGCCCTCAAGGGGCGGGGCGGCGGGGGACCCCTCCGAGCAGTGGCGGTTGAGCTCTGTGCCCATGGGGTGCTATCCAGCCCCGTGGAGGAGTCTTGGCCTCCGCTTCCGCTGTGGAGAAGCCCGGGGCCTTCCGGACACATTCAGAAGACAGCCCCCCCAGCCCCTGCCCTGGCAGCGCGAGGGGAATGCGGGGCTGGGACCTCGAGGGCTGCAGGCACCTGGGTCGGCTTGAGGGGGCGACTCGCTGCCGGCCTCCTTGCTGGGCCTCTGCGCAGCCCCGTGTTGATCACCACCCTCTCCCCACTTCGCTTTGAACGTCGCTCACCTCCGTCCAGACCGTTCCTGCCGAATCTGAACCGAGGAGGGGTTTTTCTTTCCAGCAAAAGGGGCAGAGAACATCTTTCCAGAGAAGCACCCTGGAACATTGGAAGAAGGGCCAGGCCAGGGCGGTTGGACAGGGAGCTGCAGCAGCCCGTGCGGGGGCCACTCGGTGCCAAATGTGCCCCTGGGGGCCTGGGGAGCCCTCCTGCCCCAGCTTGGCTGCCCCCATCACAGCAGCCCCACACTGGTGGCCTCCGAGCCGATGATGCCCGCTGGATAATCCCGGCCTGGGGGGTTATTTATGTATTTATTTATTTAAAACATTCCTATGCCGCCCCCATCGCAACAAAGCCTCGGGGTGGCTCACAATGGTGGCCGCTGTGAGCTGGTGCCGCGCACCAGGCGGAGGCTGGCTACCTCGCCCGTGGCGAAGGTTCGGGGTGCCTGTGGCCTGGGCCCCCCACCTGTGACCTGCAAGGGGGGCCTGAAGAAGCCCCGAAGGCCCGGAGGCAGTCTTCAGAGGGGCAGCAGGAAAGAAGCGCGTGAACGGAGGTACTGAGGCACAGAGCGTCCCCCTGCCCAGCGCTCTGCAGGGCCCGCCGAGCAGAGCTGAGCAAGTGCCCCTGGGCCCCCAGGGGTCAGCCTGCCCCCCAGCCCTGCCACTGGGAACGGCTCTTGACCGTCGGGGGCCCCCCGTGGTCCCCGTTTCAGTGCCCATGTGCCACCGCTGCCCCGATCCCGCCACTTCCCTTGTGCTTAGGCACTTGCACTCCACTCCTGCTTCCCCCGAATCGTGCCCCCCTCTGCTCGGTAGTCTGTGCCTGCTGTGCCCCACAGCCCAGGCCCGGCCCTCCTCATCAGGCCCTGCTCTCCGTCCCTGCAGCGAATGGAGGGCGGTGGGGGGGGGGGGGTGCCAGAGCCGCTCTCCCCTGCCTTTCCACAAAGTCATCCTTTATTCTGCAAAAAGTAGGGGTAGGGTTGCCACCTGGTTGCCTCCCGACGGATCCACCACGGAGGTGGCCACTGGGGCGTCTGTCTCCCGTGTCACATGCTGTCGTCTTCCTGCCCCTCTCAGAAGCAGATCCTAAAGGAGCTGGGAGAGGAGGTCCATTGGAGCCCTGGGCTCGATCCCCTGCTTGCCTGGGGCCACCGGCATCCTCTGGCCGCAGGCAGCGGGGGGGGGGGGGCACCATGTCAGAAGCATCCAACGGGGGGGCTGCTTCGGCAGCCATGTGGCACCCTGGCAGTTGGGGAGCCTGCAGCCGGGGCTCCCCAAGCAGAGCATCAGATGTCTCCAAATACCGTGGGTCCCCTCTGGCGTCACGCTGCATGCGGCACGGAGCGGGAGGAGGCTCCATGAGAGCTGGGAAACCGCCCCGTCAGCGATGGTCGGGGGACCGGTGAGGCCAGGGATGGGGTGGCCGCCGCGGGAGCCCCGAGGGACAGGGGACGACCGCAGCAGGGCTGGGCTCGGCTCCTGGGCCTGCCGTCCTGCTCCCCAGTCCTGTGAGGGCCGGCCTCGGAAACGAGGCCAGTCGGCTGCCTCGTGCCCTGCTCCTTACCCACCGCATCCCTAGGACTTGGCTCCTGGGGGCATCCAGCCAGCTGTGCTTGCCCCAGAGCCAGGGCAGAAGCAGCTGCTTCAGTCCCTCCACCCTCGGTGGGAACCGGAGCGACTGAACTGGCACTCCTACTGCCCTTTATTGGCAGGAACGTGGTGGGACCCCGGGAAGTCCCTGCAGAGAGCAGAGCGGAGCCAAGCTCTTGGCCAGCTGGGAAGCAGGAAGCCCCGCGACGGTGGGTCAAGGCAGCCGCGTTGCCCAAGATCGTGCATCGGCCTTCGGGATGAGACACACCTCCCTCCCCGAGACCGGGTCAGACGCCCGTGGTGTGTGGCGTCAGACCGGCTTGGAAGCAGGTCGAGCCCCTCCTAGCACACCGGGCAATGCCCAGTGCGTGGCCAGGGCCAGGGCCAGGCCCGGGGTCAGTCCGGGGTCGTCCCCAAGGCTCTGGCTGTCGAACGAGTTTCCCAAAGGCCTCACTTGGCAGCATGAGCAACGCAGGCCACGCACTGCAGAAAACTGCTAGCGGGGGACCCCCCTCCCCGAGGGCCCCCGCCCCCACACCGGAAGCTGCCTTCCATAGGAGCAGCCCCCTGGCCCACCTGGGAAGCAGCAGGGGATCAAACCTGAGCCCTCCTGCGTGTGCAGCGGGGCTCCCCCTTGGCCCCGCTTGGCTCCCCCTTGGCTCCCCCTTGGCCCCGCATCAGGGCAGGGGCCAGTCCACATCCGATGTGCAGCCGTGGTCAGGGCAGGCTCAAAAGCCCCTCGGACCCCCGGCAGCCTCGACACCTCCGCGTGGCCAGGAGAGGCCTGGATGGGGCAGCTTCTGCGGGCAGCGCGGAGCTGCGTCTGGGAGCCGAGGCGGGCTGGGTGGAAGGGGCTCCGCTGGGAATCCCTCTCCAGCTTGGTTCTGACGTGAAGCCGTGCCCCCCATTCTACAGAGACACTGTGCCAGATTTTCTATCATGCCCTCTTCCCCAGCTCGGTGCCCTCCGGATGGGTTAGACTACAACTCCCACAATGCTTCAACACATCTGGGGAGGGGCAGGCTGGGGAAGGCTTTTGTAGTTCCCCCAGGTGGCTGTGCAGGGGCGATCCTCGACTTTTGGCAGGGCCGTCTCTCAGATGCAGCTGGCAACCCACTTGCACGCGGCAGAGAAGGTTTGTGGGGGAGGCGGAATGGGGTTGGCAGCTGGTGCAGGATGCGGGACGTCCGCGGTGGTCCCTGGGCGTGTGGCCCGGGCGACGGGGCGGCACAAGCCAGCCTCCAAACGCGCCTGGCTCTTACTGTAGGAAGTCCGGAGACTTAGTCATGGCGTCCTCAAACTCTGCCAGCGAGAGCATCTTGTCATTGTCCAGGTCGGCCTCCTCCAGGATCTGCTCGGAATGCAAAAGCAGGTGCGTTACGTTCGGACCATCCGGGGCCTCGGAGGCCGCCACCCTCCGGCTCAAGGTCTCGGGAAGGCGAGGGCAACGCACGTGGCTGGCCAGGGACACAATCGCGTCCTCGCTGAGGGGGCTCCGGTGCGCCAGTCTGCGGATGACGTTCTGGAGGTCTTCCTCGTCGATAAAGCCGTCATTGTTGAAATCTGGAGAGGGGAAGGATGGCAGGAACGGTGAGAGCCAGCGGGGTGAGGTGCTGTGAACGCAGGAGAGCTGGGCTCCGTCCCCACTCAGCCACGGGGGGCTTTGGGCCAGGCACGGACCCTCCGCCTCACCTACTCCACTGGGTTGTTGTGAGGATAAAACAAAGACGGACAGGATCGTGAGAGGATACGGAGAAACAGAGGCAGTTCCCATGGGCAAAGGGTGGATTCTTCTCTCCGTTGCCTGGTTCAAGCCACACAGAGCCTGTCCTAAGGAAAGCTGGAGCAGGAGCCAAGGACAGAGTGCAAATCGGTGGAAGATGCACCGGTCATTTAAGATATGCAGGTGAGGCCATCTGACTGG